TTTTTAATTTTTATTTTTATTTTTTTTTTTGGTTTTTCTCCGGTACCGGGAACCGAACTCACGACCTTGCGCTTGCCGGGCAGGCGCTTTGCCGCTGAGCTAAATCCCCAGCCCCTGGACGCAGTGGTTTCGATGACATACTTCTTAACACTTGCTGTTCAAGTGAGACCTGCTGGTTTTCATACAGTCAGTGGTGGTAGCTTTCTGCACACTTTTGCTTTGTTCTTCTACTCCCACTCACCAAGAAGACTGTCTGTAAAACACAGTATGATATAAATCCAAAGAAAATCAGGAAGTATTTATTTTATTTAAATGTTAATAGTTCGATGAAATGCAACTCAAAACCACATTGAGATTCCATTTCACTGCAGTCAGAATGACTGTCACGAATAATAGAAAACAAGACATGCTGAGGATACGTGTCAGGATACAGGAGGAAGGTTCTACACAGCTAGTGGAGCCATATATTAGTACAACTACTATGGAAATCAATATTGAGGTTCCTTAAAAGCTAAAAATAGAGCTGATCTGACTATACCATTTCTTGATATTTACCCAAAGTAATTAAAGTCAGGATACTATAGGGATACCAACATGCCCATGTTTGTTCAGGTACAATTCACAGTAGCCAAGAAATGAAACCAACCCACCAGGTACCCACCAGCGATGAATAGATAAAGAAAAGGTGGCATACACTGCGTAGAACTACTCAGCCATAAAGAAGAACAAATTCATGTCCTTTGCAGAAAAATGAAGGGATCTGAAAATCATTATATTGGGCATAATAAGTCAGAACCAGAAGACAAATATCACATGTTCTTCCTAATATGTGGAATCTGAAAGAGATGACAAGAAAATAGGAGGGTAGCTATTACTAGACAGTAGGAAGAGAATAAGGGTGAGTAGGGAGGGATTTTTTATTAATAAATTCACTGCTGATTTTGATGCAGTCATTCTTTTTTTTTTTTTAACAACTCTATGCAGATCTCACTGTTTTTCAGTTATAATAAGGATTAGGTGTTGATGATAATCAAATTGTAGCACTTTGGGAGGCCGAAGAAGAAAGATCAAAAGTTTTAGTTCAGCCTGGGCACCTTAGCAATTTTGTGAAGGACTAAGGATACAACTCACTGCAGAGGTCCTGGGTTTAATTAGTAGTACCAGAAAAAAAAAATGCTTAATTTTGTCAGGTTTTGATATAGAAAGTTACAATATAGCTATATATTCCTGTGGTTTTAAAATATAACCTTTTTATGGTATTTTAAAATTAGGAATTGTCAGATGAAATTGAGGATTATACACATCGTTTCAATACTGAAGATCAAGTGGAATGGAACTTGGTGCTTCAAGAAGTAGCAGCTTTTATCGAGGTCAGTTTTGGAGAAGAAAGGCTGCCATAATTAGGAATAAGAAAATGGCCATGGTGTATGCTTTTATTGTATAGATATGGCAAGGGCAAGGAATATTTTATTATATTGTAATTTTTGTTCTTCTGGCAATTTTTTGCTTTCTCTTTAGGCGGACCCTGTAATGGTATTAAATGATGATAATACCATTGTTATCACATCCAATCGCCTTGCTGAAACAGGAGCCCCATTGCTGGAGCAGGGGATGATAGTGGGACAGTTGTCTCTGGCTGATGCGCTCATTATTGGTAATTGTAATAATCAGGTAAAGAATTGTGAAGAATGTATGCTTAAAACTCATTTCGAAAAACTTGATTATCACAGAATTCTTTCCTTGTAAATGTCCTAACATTGATCTCTGAGGAAATTGTTAATTAAATATGCCATGTCCATCTATGGACTATATCATTAACATTTAAGTAGTTTAGAAAGAATTTTTAATAACACAGGAAGATATTTATGATACACTAACTGAAAGTAAACTTGCTCTGGAGAATTATTTAATGTATTAGAATATCTGTACACATGTCAGCACAGGAAAAGAATTAGCAATAAATTCACCAACATCTGAAAGGCTTTTTTTCTGAGTATCAGAATTACAAGTGGTTTTTTAGCCAGGTGTGGTGACTCACACCCGTAATCCCAGCACTCTGAGAGGCTGAGGCAAGAAGATCAAAACTTTGAGCCCAGCCTGGGGAACTTAGTGACTTAATGAGATCCTGTCTCCAAAAAAAGAAAAGGGATAGGGTTGTAGCTCAGTGCAAAGGTCCTTGTGTTAAATCCCTAATGCCACCAAAAACAAAGAATTTTTTTCTTCTTTGCAACTTTCTAAACCGTCCACAATTTTATATATTTTTCCAATCCGGCAAAAAGGAAGAAGGAGCTGTTTTAAAGTACAGTTGTCAAAAATGAATTTCAAATTTTTCTTGTGCCAAAAGTATTCCATAATGATAAGGACTTAATCCACTGAAAACTATCTGCTGTTGGGAAGGTCACCTGTTTATTTATGTGTTAATATGAATTTTAATTTTGGATCCTATAATACACCTATCATTTTTGTTACTGAAATTTTATAGTAATTCTGTATTTTTTTACTCTCATAGCCATTAATTTCCCAATTTCCAAATTAAAGCATTTTGAAATTATATATGTAAACTAGGTTCACAGATTTTAAAGTGTGGTTTATTTACTTACATTTTTCTAAAGGGTAAATATTTTTCCCACTTTTTATATTCAAAGAACATTTTGCTAATAATCATAATATATAAATTTCAACCAAATGAGATAATCAACTACCTGAGTGGCTAAAAGCAAAACAGAGTAACTGAAGATAGCCTATCCTGGCAAGCTTGTACTAAAGGTGGCTATCTCATGCCTTGTTGACAGATTCGTGAATCAGTGCATTCAGTTCAGAAAAGTATTAGGCATTATCATTGCACAGCTGAGTGTATGCACACCCTTTGACTAAGTTGTCCCAATAATTTCTTATTGATTTTTAAGTGTTTTTAATACAGTCTGCATAAAGGTCCTTTATGATATTTACTTATTGAAATATCTTACACTGTATGGCATGTCTTACATTCTTTTTTTCATATGTTAATTAAAGTGTTTATTATCTACTATGTACCAGACCCTATTCCAGATATTGAGATTCTAGTAAACAGAAATCTTCAATTCTTCTTTTTTTGGGGGGGGGGGTACCAGGCATTGAACTCGTGACTTCAAGCTTGCCACGCAAGCACTTATGCCACTGAGCTACATCCCTGGCCCAGCTTCAATTTTAAATTAGCACAATTTATAAATTTTTTCTTTTCCTGTTCAGGCTGGCCTTGAACTTAATTATGTACCCCAGACTGGCCTTAAACTCACAGTGACCCTCCTGCTTTACCGTCCTGAGTGCTGGGATTATAGGTGTGCACCCACCACACATGGCTATTTTTTTCTTTCCACATTAGAGCTTTTTTATATCCTATTTTGAAAAATCTTTACCTGTTGCATAGTCATGAAAATAATTCCCTTCCTAGCCTTTATTACCTTACCTTTCACATTTAGATCTGTAGTCAGTTCATATTTTTGTTTGGTGTGAAATATAGGTCAAAATTTCTATGTGAATTTCAGTAGATGTAGTACCATTCACTAAATAGACTAACTTTTTTCTACCACCCCCTATTGTCATTTTTATCATAAATTTGTGTTCATACATGTTTGCATCTGATTCTGTTCCTTTGGTCCATGTGTTCATTAGGCTCCCTGCCTCCATGCTGAGCTCAAGTCTAGTTTTACTTATTTTTCCTGCTCAAGGTTCACAAAGTATCAGCTGGGTGTAGCTATTTGGTTAGTGTTTGTTTTCATGATTCAATTGTAAGCTCTAGTAGAGAAGGTACTTTTCCTTTCTTTGGTTAATCTCTCTCATCACCCAAGTCTCAGACAAGACTGGCACAAAATAAACGCTGATTGAATGAATGATACCTTTGAAAGTTTTCCTGAGAACAATGCTTGAGTGAAGAACTAAGAGTAAGAAGAAATTAGTGTTGTCAAGAGCAGAGTGTGCCTGGCAGCAAGAAGAGCGTGTTTTGAGGGGAGTGCTGAGTTCGAGACAACGATGCAGGCACTGAGAGCGTACTGGCTGAAACTGAGAGAACAGGGAAACAGGAGCAGGAAACCTAGGCAAAGCTGGACTGAGAAGGCCTGATACGACTCACTCAGCAACTCACTGGTATGCTGAGTACATTGGAAAGTCTGCAAAGAATCCACTTGAAGGGAGGAAAATGATGAAACCTTCATCATGCGATCATTTTGATTGTAGTTGTACAGATGAATTGGAGCCAGAATGGTGGGTGGCAGAGCAGTTAGGAAATTGTTGCAGTAATCTTGGTTTGTGGTCAAAATACTAAGAGGGTGGTGGTGATAAAGGAGCCATGAGATTGGTTTTATGAAATATGTAGGAAACAGAACCAGTAGCATTTCAGATCTCACTGGATGTGGAAGGAAAAGAGTAGATTTCAGAGACAACTTCTGGGTTCTAGGTTATGTGTGTGATACAGATCGCTGTTCTGGTGAGCCTGGTTCTGCAGAATGGGACATGTAACAAACCTGTCTACAGAAGAGAATGTAGACAAGGAGAATTAAAGGGCTAGCAAGGAAGAGCTAAAGGATTAAGGGAAGCTAACCTAACATTGAGGCACAGGAAATAAAGACATCCACGTGATTCCTGATGTGAGAGACCAGGTCAGGAGCATGGCCTTGAACAATGAAAGATGAGGTACTTTTTGACATGAAAGTCATCTGTTTTGAGAAGGATAGCAATTACCAGGTTAAGAAGGTATGTATATCTGTGCCAACTGCTGTCTATTAGTTTTGCTCAGGAACATATGCTTGCTTGTGTCTACACACCTCACTTTATTTTATTTTATTTTATTTTTTTATTTTTTTGGTACCAAGAATCAAACTAAGGACCTTACACTTGCCAGGCAGGTGCTGTGCCTCTGAGCTATATCCCTGGTACTTGGATGGGACACCTCACTTTAGACAGAGAAAAAGGACAGATGAGCTAGGCTGTCTTCGTTACTTTTCTCTTGTTGCTGAGACAAAATGTCTGATGCCCAGAATTAAGGAAGGAAAGGTTTATTTAGCTCACAGTTTGTGGAGGTTTCGGTCCATACTTGGTTGGCTCCAAGGCAGAGTGGCACATGGCAGAAAGCAACAGTTCATGGTACTACAAAAGCAACAAGAACAAAAAGGGAAGAGCAGCGAGCAAGCCTCTTTCCCTTCCTTATATACAGGCTACCTGCCCCAGTGCGGGTGCAGCACTCACACCCATAATGCCAGCACTGGACCATGAATCAGTTATAAACTCTAGAAGCTCCCACCCATGACGATGTGAAGCTTTAGGGTGACATCTAGACACAAACCATAACATAGGTCATTGTCTCTAAGCCTGGATCTAGCAGTTCTCTTTTTTAGCGGTAATGGGTGGTGAATGTGTGGATCTTTAGGACAGTTTTATCATACTTCAGAAAATTCAAATAATGCTGTGTTGGAACATTGAACAGAAGGGTCAGAAATTCACAACTTTGTAACTTCATTCTGTGAAATTCTGACCAAGAAGAAGTACAGTTTTTGCTTAATCTGCTTAAAGAGGTAGGATCTTAGAGTAGGGTGGACATATAACTCAGTGGTAGAGCACTTGCCTAGCATGTGCAAGGCCATGGATTCAGTCACCAGCACCGTAAAAACAAAACAGAACAAAAGTTA